CTTGTTAAAGGAAGATTGATTCTTTTGGCCTCTTATCCCGCCAGTATGTTGGTAACTGTCAGCTTTATCTGTCCTGTTAAAGATATGCAGGATCAATCATTCCAGGTGGACCTGAAGGGTTCAGAGTACAGTATGGGTATATTTCTGAAAACAGTCCTAAATCTGAAAGCTCAGGTTATGGTAGTGGCCAAGGTATGTTTTCATGCTTAAGTTTGATATACCAATTGAGAACGTTCCTGAAGATGCTGAATCTGGTCATGGTGACACATGCCTTGGTTAGGCTCTGTTTGGGTTACTTCAGTGCCCTCTATGTGGACGTACCTTTAGAAATATTTACGGTAAGCACTTTGAACCAGAATGTTGTGATGAGACTGTACACAAGAGCTGAGTGCTGGCAGAGGGCACCTTTCCCCCCCCTTCTTATTGTCTGTCTGTCTGTCCATCTCTCCATTTCCAGGAGCAAATCAGAGCACTAGTTCGGCTCTGTTTGGGTTACTGCAGTGCCCTCTGTGTGGACGTACCTTTAGAAATATTTACGGTAAGCACTTTGAACCAGAATGTTGTGATGAGACTGTACACAAGAGCTGAGTGCTGGCAGAGGGCACCTTTCCCCCCCCTTCTTATTGTCTGTCTGTCTGTCCATCTCTCCATTTCCAGGAGCAAATCAGAGCACTAGTTCCAGCCTATAAGGAACTTTCATAAGACATAGAAGCTGATTGTTTGAAAGGCAATGTAGGATGTTAGTTGGGTAGTAAGTTCTTCAGGGGAGGTTATTCTCTTGGTCTCACTTAGAGACAGGTTTCATGGGGACATACGTAAATGAGGCCTTGACACTCCCAGGCTGTGGAACTCCCTGATATCCTTTCGCCAGCAAGGAAAAAAGGGCCTGTATTTTTCGTCATAGAGACCCTAGGCCGCTAAATGGGACTTCTGCTGAAGGGCTTTTCACTGATTAGACACGGTTTCGTTTCCAGGATTTGTTTGTTTTCAACGGACATGTTTCCATCTGTCTGTTTTCTTTTAATTGTGGCTGTTTGTACAGGCATTGGATTCGGTGGCCATCTTTTTGGCAGAAGTCAGGATATGGATTCAAGAAACAAATGATATCAAGAAAGAGAGAGTCTAAATCTATGTCTGGCATCCATTTATCTGGTTGTGGGGGGAGAGAGAAAGAGGAGGAAAAAGTGAACAGATGTGGTGAGAATGAAAGGACCTTAATAAAACCTTAGCAAATGGCCCAGCCTAATTCATCTCCCTCCATTTAACAAGCGAACTCATTGATAAGCAAGCCACCTGATGCTTGCACAGCAGAAAAAGAAAACACCTGGTTTTTGCCTGTGGTTTGATAAGCCAATATCTTTAATCTCAACCTTCTCCCCCACTCCCTCTTTGCCTCAGATGACTGAAGTGCACACTCTGTGAGACCCTCTGCTCCAGCCACACTGGTAATAGTGACAAAGCTTTTGATGTCCCCCCCTCATTCAACAGAATGTTGTTTAGTTCAAAGCAAAGAACAGAGGCACTTCTTTGCTTTTAAATTATTAGCTCCCTAAGTCTTCTGTAATGATATAGTTTGACTGAAGTGTGCAGTTTATTAACTACATAAAGACGATATTATTAGAGCGGAGAAAGGCAGCTGAAAGTTTTGCCTTTCAGTTCAGCAGCAGGGGTTTCAAATACTTTGATCTCAATCAATGCTAAATGTCTTTGTACGAGCGCGCAAGCAGTTGAAATTACCTTTGGCACCGAGGCTGCATCAATTATTTAGCTCTTTTTTCTTACAAATTAAAATCTTCTTCAACTTTTAGCCTAATTTCTTCTGAAGCAACCCCCCGGCCCACGCTCCCCTTTCAGAGGACAGTGGGAGGAGGACAAACGGATCTGCTTTGCTGTATGTGCTAATGGGGCCCGGGCTGACCTTCCCAAAAACTGGGCACGTTCCTCTAGTTTTCCATGGACCACAGAACAGGCTAATATTAATCATCATCATCATGCCAATTCTGACTCATGGTGACCCTTTTCAGGGTTTTCCAGGTAAGGAATACTCAGAAGTGGATTACCATTCCCTTCTTTTGGGGTGTCCTCGGACTGTGCCGTCTACCCAGGGCCACAAAGACTGGCTCTGTTTAAAATGGATGACTTTGATTAATTTGCTCTTTAGCCTACCCATGGTGAAACCTGGCCCTGGAGATGAGATTATGCTTCTCAAGATTTTATTTTGGCCTTGACTTAAAAGTGATCCACGACTTTTCTCCCTCTTCTCCTCCTCCTTTTCCCACCACCCTGTCTTTGTTCCTTGGTACCTCCCTGGTTGTGACATTCACACCCACACCTGGGAAAACCCATAAGTCAAGCTCCCTCCCATAGGTCTAAATGCACTGAGTTCCTGAATGTCTCTACATTGTGCGATATAAGTGGGAAGTAGGAAGCTAGGTGCTGTGTCAATGTTTGAAATGTCATATGCATATAGTGCTTTTAAAAATTAACGGGAGTGCTAGATAGCTCAGTGGTTTAGATATCTGGCTGAGGAACCAGAGGTTGGGAATTTGTTTTTACCATGTGCCTCTTTGACAAGGGGTGGAACGGACAGTCCATAGGGCCCATTTCAGTTCTGCAGTTATAAGATGATGATGATCAAAACACAATCCTAAAAATGTACCTTGTACTTCAGAAAATGAGGTTTGAACACCAGTGTCCTAAAAATCACTGCAACAGAAAATGGATGGAGCTAGCTCTCCATCCCAAGCTATTTGAGGGAAAGCAGTTGTCAAGACTGCAAGTGCTGCATGGATAATAGTATTGAAATGGTATTGAAATAATTGTCTTGTATTATGTGAAACATTGCAAGGTGTTAACACGACCCATAGGCGGTGTTGCTAATGTGTCAAATTATTGTACCTGTATCTTACTCCTTCAGCCATTTACACACACGACATCCTGCTTATCCCACAGATGCATGATCCAGTTGGTCAAAATAAGGACTATTATCTGCCATAATGGCAACTTGCAGACCCCATATTTTATAGGACTGGTACTTTACCACACTAGTAAAAGCAATAGAGATTCCTATTAAAAATATTTTGACCGTTTATAAAGGCTTATACCTTAGCAGCCTAGCAAAATGATATTGTTGATTGTTGGAGGTGGAGATAAACATTAGCAAAGGGTATAAATAACACCCAGAAAAGAAAGCCTGGGCAAGGAGCAAAGGATGAGAGAGAACACCTGTAGAGGGGAGGAGACTCAGCTGGGGTGGGTGTAAGACTTTTTTTTGTAACCTTATAGTAGTATGCTGGTGTGATTCTGTAATTGTTAAGTTCTTGTAATTCCAATTGAAACAACATACAGTATTAAGTTTGTTGAAAGTACTTAATCATACATCTCATTATGTTTTCATGGTTATATTCCTAAAATGTCATATTAAGTTTCTGTACTTACAGTTTTTGGATATTCAGTAGATAGAGAACGACATTACACATACATCTGCTTGCATATAAATAACAATAATCCTGTGCTACCAAGTCAATTCTGATGTGTGGGAACCCTTTTCAGAAGTAAGAATACTCAGAAGTAGTTTACCATTCCTCCGTCTGTGGGAGCCCTGGGACTGTACAGCTGGCCCAAGGCCACAAGGTTATTTTGACCCTGGTCAAAATAACAGCACCAACAAGAAGCAATTCATGTTTCACATTCACAGAGAGGGAAATTCCTCTTCCTAATCAACCAAAGACCAATCGGGATTTTCCTCATGACCCCTTTTCCCCTATGACAAAGCTACATCTTCAGTTTTGTAGACATTGAAATAAATGGCCAAAGCAATCTATTTTAAGTAGCAATCATTATTATATTGTAGTCTTGCTGCAATCCAGCATATCAACTCAGTTGTCAAAACAGAAAAAGGAAGTGCTTATGGAGGGGAGAAAACTATGTCTACTATGCATGGACCTGCACACCCACCCACCCTTTTGGGGTATGATGGGCTTGGCACTCCATAGGACTATAAGTGATTATATTACCTGTAAGGGTAATAATAAAGCCACAGCCCCTTTTAGATTATGAAAACTTGCAGCACTGACCTGGCCGCAGTTCTACCAGCAAAATCAATTTTCTTGAAAATGATATTTTTATGAACACAAATTGAAGTAGGAGTTTTAACAGAGATTTGTTTTAGAAATGTGAAACATGATTGGCAGTCAGATCCAGATGACCATTACAAAAGCATTTTGCATTTAGATTCCACAGTCTTAAAACAACTTCCACCTATGGTGAAAGGTCAACACTGGAAGGATTTCAGACTGACCTATGGTGCTAGGATAAACTAAAAGGAATTGACTTGAATTGAAATGTATCCGACACAACTAAATGTCTGGATTGCAAATGTGTTCTAGATGTTACTGTATCATGGCCAAATGCTGTTGCTTAGAGTAGAAAATTGTAGTATAGTAGGCCCATTGAATCAATGGGAATTTGGTGAGTTTCATTGATTCACTAGGCCTACTCTACTACAATTTTCTACTCTAACTGTGACTTATTTTAGTACAGTAAATCACAGTTAGAGTAAGCCCATTTGAATCAATGGAACTTACAGAGAAGTTGATTCCCTAAATACCCATTGATTCAATAGGCCTAGTCTAGTGGAATTTTCTGTACTAAGGAAAAGGATTTTGCCTAATGAGGCACATGATTAGTCATAAAAATATTATCATAAACAGAAGGTATTACAAAACAGTACTTACTGTTCATCAGCAGAAAATACAGTGCAAATAACATCCAATCTGGCTCAGCAGAGAGGGAGTTGGATTTATATATGTTAACCTGTACCCGGATTTATGTCTTTCTGTCTTAGTCATACAATGTCTTTCTGTCTTTACCTGGATTTATGTCTTTCTGTCTTAGTCATACACATTTGTGTGGCCCAAGGCAAAGTCATGTCTCCCTCGGCCAGCCATTCCCATTAGTGAGACGGAAGTCATCATCTCCAGTGGTGGAGAGTTGTGCATGGTGGTGAACCTTCCACTCCCACCCACCCTTTGCTAGTTGAAAAAGCTGCTGCTCCTATTAAGCTCCCTTTCCCCTGCCCACAGATCCTGGCCACTCCTCAACTGGCTATGTGAATACTGTAATATCTTGGCTCTGTGAAGGGAATACACATAATACTTTGGTTCCATGGATCCTCAGGGCTGAGATATCATGCACATAGTGGCTGTGGAGCAGCTGGGTATGCACTGGCTAGGCAGCCGTGGGAAGAGTCCATATATAAACAGGGATTTACCTCATACGTAGTCCTGCTAAAATAAAGAGGGTGAAGAACCTTGAAAACTGAAAGTTCCCCGTAGGTAACTGAAAGCGATAATCGGTGTGATCAAGATTGGACTGCCAACTGTTTAAATCAGAAGCCTTTGCCCTGGATAAGATGCAGATTATACTTCAGAATAGCCAGCATGTTGCAAGCTGTTGATCAGCCTTGCAATTATCCAGGTACAAGGATTTATCTAGTACTTGGATCTAATTTCACTAGAAGCCACAAACCATTATCTGATTGCACCTTTTAAAAGCTGGATGTTAGGTAAGCGTAAACATGAAGAAGAATATGACAACAGATACAGACACTGCAGCAGATTTTCCTGACCCCCGCAAAAGAAAAAAATAGCAATATTTTCACAAATATATGCAAAGGATTCTGTGAAGACCTATTAAGTTTATATTTTTAAAAAGTGTCATTCCTATTTAATAAATGATATGGTATCAAACCCATCTTTCTGGCACAAAAATCTGGGCACTAGGCGTTGTAGTCTGACCAGATGTGAAGGTTCTCCACCACTGTCTTAGGTCAACATGAAGTTCTAGACCCGAGGATCACCTCATGCTGTTGCCTTTTAGAGATCCTGACCAGGGGCCAACTGGATCAGTACCTGGATAAGATACCACTAGGACATGCACGTAAAACTCTCTGCTCTTCTATAGGAAAAACAGGACATAAATATAATAAACACAAACACCAAAAACAGCAGCTCCAAAAAATGAACCAAGCAGAAGAGTTAAGATAGAGTTAAGGTACTAAAAAGTTATGGAGAAGCCAGTAAGTGGTGGGTATGAATTGCTAAGGACAAGAAAGAAACCAGTCCAAAAGACATCTCGCTTTTGAAAAACTTTGAAAAAATTGTGTCTCTGAGGTCATTTTTTTAATAACCCACCTAGTTTGGTGGTGGATGATTTTTGTTTATTATTCCAAGACATATCTTTCAACAGCCTGATTCATCAGTCAAACTGTAGGTGATTATACCTGCTGGTTCAGGACTAGGAAAAAATACCCATTCATTTTTAAAGCAGGTCACCTCCTGTTATCCAAAAAGGCTCCATGTCACCCCGCGTTTCCTCCTTCTGTCAGATTCTCCCAGGGGCAGATCACTTCTTTGGCAGAATCCTTGTATGCCCAATGGCTGTTCTCCTCTTCCTCCTCAGAATCTATGGGGTAGATTTTGCTCTCCAAGGGAATGTCCACTTTTATGTGGAAGAAGCTAGGAAGCAAAAGAAACATTCATCACAGCCTGAATATCTTTTCGAGTAAAGGAGTGCATGAGTTGGTTCCCCAATTTGGTTTAGAGGCCAGTTTGTCATCTAAGTGCATCCTGATCTGGTCTGGAGGAATGTGTATCCCAGATCCAAATTGATCTGTAAGCATCCCATTGATTTGCATTGGGAAACTATGATGACTTCAGCTTTTTTTTATTTATGTTGGGATGTACTTGAAATTTGGACATGTGATAGACCCTAAAGAGTGCAGTAAATTTGCAACATTTCAGACAGCTACCGTGTTTCCCCGAAAATAAGACAGGATCTTATATTAATTTTTGCTCCCAAAAACGCATTAGGGCTTATTCTCAGGGGATGTTTTAATTTTTTTTCCAGGTACAACAATGTACTTTTATTCAAATATGGTCACGCCATCTTCTTCTGGTTGCTGCACAAGGGTTTCACTTAACTGGGGCTTAATCTGGGGGTAGGGCTTATATTACGAGCCTCCTGAAAAAGTATACTAGGACTTATTTTCAGGTTAGGTCTTATTTTCAGGGAAACAGGGTAGCTTAAGGGGTTTGCACTCAGGGTGCCCTAAAAATGGCCTCGTATAAAGCAATGCTCAGTACAACCCATGTAGCATAAACCTGTTTCCCCAATTTTGCACTCAGGGCGCCCTAAACATGGCCTTAAAAATACTAATGGGCTAAAGCAATGTGTGGTCTTTGCTGATATGGACACAAATACATTTTTAAATTCACTAGACCTTGTACAAGTCAGTCAGCATCAGGCCAATTTAGCTGGTAACTTGTGACTCAGCAGAACCTGATGCACAGCCCTATTTCAGATTAGTTCCAGAGAATACAGGAAGTCTGCAAACAAGGAATCTAGGACTTGAATTTTGCAATTGAAAAAGACATCAAAACAAGGGCCCATGGAGCAAAACCACCTATCAATGGCTTTAGCAGCCCCAAGTCATTTCTGAAACAACTGGCAGCCCAATCGCTCAAAGCAATGCCTTGCATTCTGATTCTGAAGGCATTCCTGGGAATGTGACTTGCTTCATTTCAAAAGAATTACATTCAGTTGTTTGCCCATCCTCCCAAATCCTTGGGACTTACACAGATGTTGGTACAAGTCCCATCCATTTAATGAGTGTACCACTTGCCATTAAAATTGAATTTAACCTTTGGAATTAATGTTTTAGTTTGTTTATTTCCTGTTTTAACAAGGTATAGGCCACCTTTCTTTTCTGCAGCGGAAGCTGATTTGCAGCTCGTATAAAGCAATGCTCAGTAAAACCCATGTAGCATAAACCTGTTTCCCCAATATTGAGGAAAACCCCACTGCCAGACAGGTCAGCTTCTACGTATGAAAGGGAGGTGGGACCATCCTGTCCCAAAGCAGGGTGTTTGCATGTATGCATGTGATGGGGCTGACACCCACGGATATTGAGGGACATGGACGCCTGTCATACTGCATGCATGCATGTGATGGGGCTGACACCCACGGCTATTGAGGGACATGGACGCCTGTCATACTGCTCTGCATGTGCTGTGTTTGCTGTATTCTTAACTGCTGGCATGTTTTTAATTGGGCTTTCTATGGTTCTCAGAGATTTGGAAATGTTTTTGAAGTACTCTACGCTAATGAGGGTAAGCCAGCTTAAGCATCCTGTTGGGCATAAAGCTAGCGTAAAAATTGAAAAAAAAATTAATGTATTTTTCCTGTTTCTTATGGAGTGTGCATGTATACCTGAAAAGGAATTTCAGTTTATTTCACGGCAAAATATAAATTCACAACTGAGTCACTGCATCTATTTCCTATACTGTATATTGGGCCCTAGGGGCCAGTGAGCAGAGCTTCCTATTACAACAAGGACAGGCAACATGTGATCCTCCCGATGTTAGTATGCAACCATTATCCTATTGTGTGGCCTGGGACTGTTGGGAGTTGGAGTTTAAAACTGGGGAAAACCACATGTTCCTCTACCCCATTAGAGCTTGTGGTCTTACTGGAAAGTTGTCAGTGATGATATTTGTACATAGTGTTTTTGAATGTTCAGACACTTCACAGACATGTCCTACTGTTCATTCCAACAGAGGCGCAAGGGTGACTCCACCCTCTAATATCCCTTAAAGCCTAAAGGGGCACAATCCACCAAGAAACTCACCTGGACAGTTTTTTGGACTTATGTTGCAATTGTGGGTTCAGATCATCCACTGGCTGGACTTTCCCATGAGTCACCACCAGGCACTTGGGTGACAGTGTTGCAAACACGGGTGAGTTCAGACATCCTCGTTTCAAGAACTTGCTGAAGGACAGGTTCCTCCGGGACTTGGGCAGCAGCTTGGTTTCAGAGCTCATAGGATACTGGGAGATACAGCAGGTCCCTGAGTCAGAATCCCTGGAGATCTCAGTGCCTTCTGTAGTGACAAGAGAGGGCTTTACTCTAGGCACGTTAGTATCCCAGCTGACAGAAGTGCTGTTTAGGGTCATGCTGGCAGAAGAGGAGTAGCCAGTGCTGTTTGGCAAAATGATGTGCCCAGAGCACTGAGGAGGACCACGGCAGGAAGAAGGAAGAGTACTGGAAGGAGATGGAGGATCGGAAGTACCAGTATAAATGGCCAGATGAGGAACTGGAATAGTAAGCTGGCACAGCTGCAGAGGGGGGGAAAGAGGAAATTATTTACATCGCAAAAAGTGGCAAAGGGACTCATGGGAGAAGTGGGTTCTGGAAAGAAAGTGGTTTTCCAATTTTTGGCCATCATCCTGTTTGCCCCCTCCGTGCCAAACCCAATAGAGATCTTAGGAAATCTCCCTCACTTACTTCTTTCTCTCCAAGGAAGGGACCAGCACCATTGTTCTTATGCGCTGTCAAGTCACTTCCCTTTTATGGCAGCCCTGACAAGGTTTTCAAGGTATGTAAGATGTTCAAGGAATGAAGACCATTGCCACACCCCCCATCACCCCCAGTAAGTTTCTGCTCAGGGATAGGAGCCCAGGTCTCATACGACCTCGTCTGACACTGCCTCCCCTACACCACATTGGCTTTCGTGACTAGAACTACTAGTCACAAACAGAAAAAACAAAGAGATGCTTCCTAGCCAATACATATGGAAAACGATATATCTAAAACCAGTACAATATTTTATACTAATATTTAAAAATTAATCATGGTGGCCATGATAAAATCTCAATATATATATTTTTCATTCAGGATACAAATACACTGGTCGGCATGTTGCTTCCTAACAAATATTTGATTCATGACAATACTAACATGATGTTATTAAACAGTATTAAGAATGCAGAAAGCCAAGTTAGTGCCAGTAAAATAATAGTCTTAATCTCTTAAATCAAGATAGATTGGACCAGACGTCCCTTGTAGCAATCTTTGTCCACTCTGATAATTCTTTTAACAATAGGCATATTATTTTAAAACAATACAACCCCCTTTGTTTTTTGTCTGTTAAAAGAAAAGTCAAACAAACAGCAAGTGTCCATGAAGGAAACTATGTGTGTCAATGATGAGGATGCTCAAGGAAGTTGTCCAGGACAAACTGAGTTGACCTGCATTTTCTCCTCCCAGCACCCGAGTGTGGTGTCTGTTGTGTAATACTGTGTTCATGAAATGTTAAAACCAAACAATTGGCTTCTTGTTATTCTGAAGGTTACTCTGAAGAGGATAAATGGGGCTGACATTTTTATATACTATAGTTTAAAAGGAAAAAAAACAATCTAGTAAATGCATATGTGATGCAGCAATGATAAATGAGGAATAAGCTGACAGATGGATGCAAATTTAGAAGGGCAAGTTAAATGTCAGACATGGAGAGAGTTATTTGGTTTTGGCTGGAAAATCACAATAGGACTTGGAGACGATGAAGTGTTATTGGGGTACTTGGGTGAGTTTTTTAAAGCATGTCTCCTTAGCTCATGCTCAGATTAATGTGAAATGGAACACACAAGCTAGTCATTAGAATTCTATACACTATTATAAAAACTTGAATAGAATTTGTCAAAAAAATGTATTCTGAATATTCATATTTGTAATGAAAATCAATGTATTATTCCTTTATGTAGGTTTTCTGCATATGTGAAACATATTCAGATTTCCAAATAAGGAAATCAGACAGAGTAGTCCAATATTTTTAATTTCTTCTTTTAAAGAAACAGAGTCTGATATTTCATATAAAAATATGTTGGAATAATGTTTGCTTGAACGTGCTGTAATTGCAAGAATGGTTCTTGACTTTCAGTTATTTTAAAATTTGGTTTCACTATGGTCTCACTCCCTCAGTCATGTCACACTGTGGCTGAAGTCCTATTAAACATTCCCAGCTTTCCTCTCATATAAATCTGATGAGATTTGGTGTCAGAAGCCTTTATATGTACAAGGAAGAAAAGTCAAATGATTAGGTTACCTAGAACAGTGGATCCCAATTTTGGGTAACCCAGGCATTCTTGGCCTACAACTTCCAGAAAACCTAGCTAGCAGAGCAGAGTCGTGAAGGTTTCTGGGAATTGCAGTCCAAGAATACCTGGGTACCCAAGGTTAGGAACCACTGACCGAGGCATTAATTCATGAATCATAGAATTTTTAACTGTGAAATTAGTTCAGATGATTTAACTAAATGCTTAGAGGAAAGTGAAATACACATTTTTCTGTACAAACAGGGGATAACTATAGTTTTACAGTATTCATACTATATCTCAGTGCAGTTTATTGACCTTATTGTAGGCAGTGAGTTAATAATCACAAGCTTTGGCCTTATGGTTAGGCAAGGTAGATGGCTGCCTCAGGCAGCAGATTTGGGATGCCAATAACAGATTGCAAATTGTTAGTTATTTAAATTCAAATGAAGAGGTTGCTTCTCCTCATGGATGACATGATGATTTATGGAAAGACTTACATAAAGGTTACATTTGTGAGCACACTCAATTGAATGATAGTATGCTCCTCAGAGCAGTATAACAATGAGAGCATTGCATGGATGACGGTCTTGCAATAGGGACTGCAACATCAATACATATACTGTATACGTATATAAATCTGCTGCCTGAGGCAGCCACCTACCTTGCCTAACCATAAGGCCAAACACTGATGATCTAGATAATCAGAAAATGATCTCAACTTTTAAAAAATCCAGATACCTGCCCACAAGAGTTGCAAACAATTCTATTAATATGTGTGTGTGTGTGTGTGTGTGTGTGTGTGTGTGTGTGTGAGAGAGAGAGAGAGAGAGAGAGAGAGAGAGAGAGAGGGGTTGCAGGAGGTCTCTCACCCTGTGAGACTGTGATACATTTTAGTTTTTTCTCCTGCTTTGAACTAAGGAGGTTCAACATAAAGACACACATTTTGTGACATGACTGAAATAGTAGGTCCAGTGGGTCCCATATAGATGCATCTGTTTACAGTGCAGATCATGCTACTTGCTCTATAAGAGCATTATCTGTTTGCATGTAACCAGGGGTGTTGGTTTATAATAACACATCCTCTTTTTCCTAACATGTTCCTAAGAGGTCTATCAAAAAAACAAAGGCTGCTAGGGAACAAATTGCCATTAGAAGGACTGCAGTGGATTCCTGCAGAGTGGCCTATTGTGGGGTGGCTGCTGGGAGACAAATGTTCTCTCTAGGGTGGCTGCAATTGTGGAACTCGTATCCACAGGTGTGTGAGCTTTGTTTCTCATGTAAGCGGTGGAGTCAGAAGACCTGGGTTTGTTGTGGAGCTCAGAACTTCAGGGGCTCACATTGTGAGGTTGTAAAGGACTTTTCTGAGCTTCTGTGGCGCAATGAGTCTCTATAGTATAAAGTGGATCAAAGTTTACTCTGGAATGCATTATCTCATTCCTTCAATTATTTATACCTCATGTTATTATTGGCATGAGGATGTCACATTTGACAATGACTTCTGAGCACATGAAGCATTTGATAGGGCATGCTATGCTGTCGCATAAAGGATGCTTTTCTGGAGATATGGACCATTGATTTGGGATAATCCAAAACGTATTTTTTAGTCTACACCTCTAACCGTCCTCAGTTTCTCTGTACATTGCCCATTAATGCTATGGGTATACTTGGTGATCTTGTACACAAGACTGGCACTGGAATTGTTATTGTACGCCATCACATGGAGGCAGCTAACTAGAGCGTTGGGTGAAAGATTTGGGGTATCCCAAATTTTAAGTCAAGGGCCTACCCCTTCTACAAATAGAAGGGAATTTGAGGAAATTGCCCATTTTTATTTAATTTATGAGGTCAGAAAACTTCCAAAATAAAAAAATGCCAAATCTATGTTTTTCTCTTTTAAAAAACCCCTACACCACTTCTACAGATTATAGTTATCATCATCATAATATGTATGTCCAGAATCAAAAAGAGGTCATAACCATCTCCAGTACAATATACAGTTCAGAAAGCATTTATTTGTCAGATTTTGTACTTCTCTAAGTTTTGTAGTTCACATGTTGACTCAAAGATGAAAAAAGAATTAATGTAAAATTACTATATTTGGAAATGAAAACACTGTAAAAAAAGGAAATAAACCAATGTATTATTTAAAAATACCACTTAAATATGATTTGATGCAGCTTTTTTAAAAAAATGCAGTTTAATGTGAGAATGAGATGCCACAGAATTATGAGCAAACCCATGTGAAACTGATGAGACTGGAAATAGATTGCTTTCTCCAAAATTCAGTTGGAGAAGAAAAACATGAGTAAGGTCAACCATATAGCCATTTTTTCTCCACCTGCCAGCTCCCTATGTAACCCTGCATGTGTCCAAATTTGCACCCAGTCCAAAATGCGGTACACAAAGGGGAGTTTACAAAAGGGCAAAGGCTTATGCCATCATCCTTACTCAATCACAAAAGCAAACAGGGTTCCAGTCTTTATTTAGTGTATTTTAAAGTTATAGTTTGTATAATCAATACAAAGTGTTTACTTATATCCATTAATCAGTGTAAAGTATCTAAACAAATTGCATAAAAAGTTGTGTAAAGTATTGAAACCTGGTTTTATTTTTGTCCCGATTTTCTTTTTTTTCATCATCACCATTGTTATCTTAGAACTGCAGAGCTGGAAGGGACCCCTTTCATTGAGTCCAGCCCCTGTCAGGGAGGCACAGTGGGGAATTGTCACCTATTTTCCTTTTCCTTTTTTTTTCTTTTTCTTCCTTGCTCTTTCTTCTTTTTTCCTTTCCCCATCTTGGACTTTGTGATTAATTTGGATTTTATCTCAGTTTATTTTTATGTTATATGTAAACCATCCAGAGTAGACACATTCTGGATGGGCAGTATATAAATCTAATAAATAAATAAAATAAACAAATAAATTGAGATTCCAACCTCTGGCTCTGTAACCAGATGCCTAAACCAGTGGTTCTTAACCTTTGTTACTCGGATGTTTTTGAACTGCAACTCCCAGAAACCCCAGCCAGCACAGTTGGTGGTGAAGGCTTCTGGGAGTTGCAGTCCAAAACTCCTGAGTAACCTAAGGTTAAGTACCAGTGGCCTAAATCACTGAGCTATCCAGCAGATCTATATTTTGAAGAATGCTTTCTTCATTTAGTCTATCTCAACCAAACACCTAGGCTCCACGTGCACAATGGGAATAACATCATAATTAGGCATGGATTGCTACTGATTAAAAGAT